TGTATGTATGTGTGTATGTGTGTGTTGTTTGTATGTATGCATGCATGGATGGATGGATGGATGGATGTCTGTCTGTATGTATGCATGCATGTACTTGGAGGGCGACACCAGGCCCGACTGAGCTTCGTGTAACATCCAGCACAATCGCGCCACACCGGTCCCGCAAAACCTTGAGGTTGGAGTTGAAGGGCGCCCGGGTAAACCACAGAGCCCCATGCAGTACGACAGTGGTCTTCTGCATGTGGGGTGCCAGGCGCTCTTGCGGATATGTCTTCCTTGACTTCCGGCATCCCTCGGACGTGCTCAGGCCGGATGGGTTGCACTTCTTATCCATCTGCAAGAAATTCCGTCGGCATACACGATGGTTTGTGAGAGAACAGCAGTGAGTTTTTCTCGCCGCTTCAAGGTTCAAGAGCAAGTTGAAGAAAATCGGAATGGGCATTGGAGCCGCGAAGTCTTCCGGCAGCACTTAGCTCTGCTCCTACCCACCCGGAGCTGACTAAAGTGGCACTGTTGTGCGGGTCCACAGCAACAGAGGATGCTTGCATGCTATGTTGGTTCTGTGCACCTGATTGGCAATCTCAGGAGTGGTCGGAAACTGCATGTGCATTTTGCACATATGCAGGTCCGGGCAACTGTTCGGGGTAAACTGTAAGCTCACAAACAGACGCCAGCTCACCACACTTCTGACTTGTTGGTTTCGGTGCCATCAGATGGCTTTTTCATATCAGATCTGATGGTTGCTTGATTGAAGGAAGGAGCTTCTGCCGACAGCATGGCTGAACATGGAACGGATTATTGCCCCTTGTGTGGTTGCAGTCTGAACTGCCAGGGGTGGAAGGAGCTGCTGGAGCGGTACAGCGAACCCGAGCAGCTTTGCGGATGAAACCTCAGGATCCTTTGACGGCTTAGGGATGTTTGAGGGTGTAAGAATGTCTTGCCTCCAAAGCAAATGCTCATGGGCACGCGTAAAGACTTGAGGGTCAACACTGGCTGGGACGAAGTCGCGATCCGAATGGCAGTCGTTGGTGTTATGTGAGCAGCTTCCGGGATATGGTTCGCACATGTTTGCACAGCCCACGTCGATGTCACGTGCACGCATGACAGGGGGACAAAAAGCCATGGGCGGATCGTGGATTGAGCGTTTTTTTTTTTTTTTTTTTTTNNGTGTGTGTGTGTGTGTGTGTTCGTGCTTGATTTTTTCTTGAGCCCTGCCCAATTTTGCAGTTCGTAGCTTCAGAGGTAAAACATCCAAATGCAAAACATCGGCAGGGCTCAAACATACACAACCCATGTCTACACTGCTGCCTACGCTGAATAAATCTGTGATTTAGATCTTCTCAATAGTGCGTGGGTCCCTACAGACATGTGCTTTCGTCTCGCTGAGAGACGGTCGGATTCTTAGCTTCTTAGCAAACAGCCAGAGGTTTTATTGCTCTGAGCCCTTCTGAAGCTCTCTTCGCATCTTCCACCTCTGTGGCTAGAGTTTTGCTCCCATTTCTTGTTAAGAGATGGGAGGAAGCTGTTTTGTTTCGAGTCACGAGGTGTCCGAGTTCTTGCAAGTCTTGTTCAGAGACACACCACCTCTTTTTTCTTGTGAGCACGGAGCCTTCATAATGTTGTCAAGCAATGTGGACTTTTTCATTTTGAATGTTCCCGTTAATTGTGGGAAAGGTTTTTCTCTTTCTTATCAAGACTATATTTGTGATCTCTTGTTGCTTAGCATCGAACACACGATTTACAACCTTATTTGTGATCTCTATTTGCTCAGTAGCAAATACTCGTATAAACAATTGCATGTTGATTTGAGCAAGCGCGAATTTGAGATAGGCTGCAGGCTTGATTTTCCTGGAGCAGAAAGAAACGATGTGTGTGTATAGCATGTAGTATGTACACAGGCATGTAGGTATGTATATGTGTACATATTTTCGCTAATCTCTGATTTATATTCTAATAACCATCCAAGAGTCCCACCCTTTCCAGATTCTTTTAATTCCTGG